GTTTTGAAAAAGCTTTTAAATAAACTTAAGGTTCGCTTCCGAGTCATTATAGTTCCTGTAAATGCACTCACTTATCCTTATAAATAAGTTACACCAACCACGAGGCCTTTAGCTGACAGACTTGTACCTTATCCACTGGTTTGGGCCACGCACCTCGAAGGGGGGCTCATTGAAGTAGATATGGTTACCTAGTTCTTCCAAGGGTGGCTCTGGGTCAGTGGTAGCAAACTGAGCAGCTTCCTCAATCTCCTTCCGTACTGCCACATCAATTTCCTACACCAAAAATGGACACTTATTAGAAGACAGCTCAGAAAAAGCAGCATAATTTTGAATTTAAGTGCCATGATTAAGTATTGGTCAGAATTGGTGTTAACACTGTCTATAACAAATTAAAAACCTGTGAAAACTTCCTTCCTCCTCCACCACAGCCTTCGTCCCTTTTGGCTAGTACGGGTCGCTTACTGCCAGGGGAACATGACCCCACTGAGCCTCCACATTTTCAATTCTGATTCTGCGAAATACTGAGCATGTCAGTGTCACTTTTTTTTTTAAAAAGAGTTGATGATTTTACAACATTCGCTTAGAGGGTTTCTGGCTTCTTCTCTAGGATTTTTCACTACTGATCATTTCCCTTTCAGAGGCTTAACCCCTTCCCCGGGTGGTCCAGAAAGCCTGGACAATTTTGATTTCTACATGTCAGTGTATGACAAGAGCTGTACTTGAAACACTGACACACCCCCACACACCCCCCACACACCCTTGCCTTGCGCTGCTGAGTTTCAGTCAGCCCCCAAGCACCAAACGCCTTTCCAGCGGAGTGCAACCGCCTTAGTCGGTCTGCATCAAAACCTCGCCTTCACCAACGAAAGTGACGTTAAAACAAACTTTAAAGAACGTCACAGAAGAGATGCACAGTACCCTGCGCTGTGCTTCTCAGAGATGATAGACCATTGGTGTGTGAATGTTCAAGAGCCTGCTTAAACAGCAGCTCACAGCCATACCTTTAGCTCTTCAATGCTTGCAAGGTTATTGTTGACCATTCTGTCCTTCAGCAAGGTAATGGGATCACTTTTGCTTCTCACTTCTTGGATTTCTTCTCTCGTACGGTAGCTAGGAGCAAGACAAACAAAGACATGACCTTCTTCAGGGGTACCCGTGAATGGAGGCAACGTTCTGGCCACAGCTCACTTTCAGAAAAAGGTGTGACCAAAGAATGCCAGGAACACAATGGAAGCACGGCACCACGGCCCACTCAAAGGGTGGCACGGCTGCAGCTACAGCACCTCTTGGCTCTGTACGCGGCAGCAGAGCTGAGGCGGTTGTGGACTGGCGCGTAAGGCAGGCCGGGGAAGGGGAGCAATCCCCGGCTGACACCATTGCTGTGAGGGGCCGTACTTCCTCCTTCCCCTCTCCCCTAAGGGGGCTACGTGACTCGTGCCCCCTACACGTTCCCAGCAAAGCGCCGGGACGCACCTCTGTTTCACACAGATAAAATTCCAACCTGTCAGCTGGAGCAGCGCCCCAGTCCTTCTGGCACCTGGGTAGCTGTGTTCTTAAGAAGTGCTCTGCTTGACCTGACAGTCCAAACTGCTCCTATAGTTTCAACTTACGGGATTTTAAAGACTCTAAAAAACCCTGGAAAAGCACGCTGCTTTCCAGTCAAAGCTGAATTACCACACACCATAAAGTCACAGTGAAAGCAGAACTCATCAATGGAAAGCACAGAGGTTTAACTGACTTCATGCTTGTTCTACAACTAAATCTCTCAATCCTGCAAGTAAAACAAGAACATTGCATGGCCACAGATCATCAGCTGAGTGACAAGATGAGTGGTCAGACTACTCACAGCAGTTTCATCACAACCTTTATGTGCACTTCACAATAGATTTAAACATCGAATCCATGACAGTTTCAGGATTTTGACCCTCAATACTTATTTGTTTTCGGTGCCAAGAAAGAATGTCACGGTACCTTATTCCAGGGTCACTCATACTGTGGCCATGGTAGCGGTACGTCTGTAACTCCATCAGAATAGGACCCTGGAAAAGAACACCACTGAGAGTGTTACTGCCTGGAGGGACAGATGTGTTGTCACAGAAGCAAGTATTTGCTACAGGTGAATTGCACCAGTGATGAATGATTTCAATTCAGTGTTTTTTCTCAGTTCAATCTGCACAACATTATCAGAACTAGTAAAATGAAACTTTTTCAAACGAAAGCGTATGTTGATAGCGTAAGCATTTCTTCTCATGTTCTTATAGAGCAGCATTAAACAACTTCTTCCAATGTCATCCCACCATTACTCTATTTCAAATTTCTTGTTGTTTCACTGTAAGATTGTAACTCACAGAAGCTTATTCTTCTGTACGAACGCTTTTCTTTTTCTGTTCCACATTCCCAGCACTACTTCACCAAATATTAAGAATCTTCAGAACCAGTGTATCACACTCGAGTGACAGACACTAATGGTGACTCACAAAACTTTTACTTCACTTTCCACTTGTAAATACAGAATGACTACTACTTTCCTTGATGCTTCCTCTAATTAATCTCTTCACAAAGAACACAACTGCCTGACAGTCTGCACACCTTTCACAACAGAATTTAACTGGGGGAGAAATAGGGGAAAAGATGACAGGGCATCAGGATATCTAGATAATTTTTTTAATGCTTGGTTAAATACCAATTGCATGTTAATAAATTCTAACAAAATTAAAGAACCACTCAATTGCTTACAGGTTCAATACTGTGGAGAAAAAAATGAAATAATGATCCAATAAAGTTTCAACAGTGACTGGAGAAAATGGGCTAGATGAGGAACTTTTTATGCAGCAATAATCTGGCTAAGAATTTCACCTGTGGAAAAGGAATGGTGATCACAGACTTACTTTTCCAGCTCTACAGTACTCGGCTGCAAACTTTGCCGCTTCTCGAACGCAGAGAACATCCATGCCATCCACCTGGTAACAAAAACTACAAGTTGAGGCAAAAATGCCAAACCCCAAACTTCCAGTTTCAGAACTTGCACAAGCGCTGTAAGAATTCAGTTTCAGTTTTCCTTTATTTACAAATATTTTTTTAAATATAAGAAATACAGACATATGTATGTATTGTGCAGGTGTGTGCATGCACATCCCCTCACTCCCCCCTCACCCCCCCCCCAAAAAAAAAAAAAAGAAAAAAAAAAGCGG